TGAGAGCAGGGCAGCTCATTTGAATTAGGGAAGCAGGACTGCTCAGTTACCCCTCAATATCCTAAGAAGTATTCCAGGGATTGCACAGAATAGAAGTTCAAGGACAATAACATGTGATGAAAGAACATTCAGAGACAAGACTGAAACTCTTTTTGCATTCTATGCATTGTTCCATTTTTTTGTCAGGGGTAAAAGAATGCAAGCTGGCCCTCACCTTACTCTGAATTCCTGAATAGAGATACAAATAGCAGTAATACATAAATACACTAAAAATCCACATCCTGATGCTGATTCATACTGAAGCTAGGACAGACAATGATACGTTCTATATAAAACACTTTAAAAGTTTTGAATGAGGCATCCAATTCATATTTCTTTTAATAAAAATAGATCTGCTTTATCCACAATTGCTGCTATTCCTAAATTCCTGGAGCTCGTAAGAAATGCAAATTCACAGAAAAAAATGTATTATTCATTTTCAGAGTGTGAATGAAGATATTTGCATAGAATCACAATCAAAGAATGGGTAAATGTTGGAAGGTACCACAGTGAATAATTTAGTCCCATGTCCCTGCTGAACCAGCTGTGCCCTAGAGCATGTGGCATAGGATTGTATCCAGACAGTTCTTGAGTATCTCTAGTTAGGGAGACTCTACAACCTCTCTAGGCAACCTCTTTCAATGCAGTCAATCATACAGTAAAGTTTTTCTTCATGTTCAGTTGAAAATTTCTGTGCATCAGCTTCTGCCTGTTGCTCTATGACCTGTTGGTTGGCACCACTGAGAAGGGCCTGGCTCCATCCTCCAGACCCTCCCTTCAGGTACTAATAAAGCACTGATGTGGTCTCTTCTCACTCATCTGTTCTTAAGGATGAACAGCCCCAGCTCCCTCAGCCTTTCCTAAGAGAGATGGTGCACTCTCACAGTCATCTTTGCTGCCTTCCTCTCGATCCATTCCAGGAGTTCCATGTCTCTCGTGTACTGAGGAGCCCAGAACCAGACACAGCACTGCAGATGTGCCTCACCAGGGGCAGGATCGCAAGCAGAATAGAGGGGCAGGAGCACCTCCCTCGACCCGCTGGCACAATGCTCTTCTAATGCACCCCAGGGTCCCACTGGTCTTCTTGGTCATAAGGGTCATGGACAGCTTGTTGTCCACCAGAACCCCCAGGTCCTTGTCCACTGACCTGCTTGCCCACCAGCCTGTGCTGCTGCAGGGGATTATTCCTCTCACATGCAGGACCTGCACCTGCCTTTGTTGAATTTCAGAAGGTCCCTGTCAGTGTCCTTCTGACGGGTTGCACCATCCCAGTTTTGTGTCTGCAGGGAACTTGCTGAGGAAGCTCTTCTACCCCTTCATCAAGTCATTGGTGAATTAAGTTAAACAATACTGGACCAAGTATTCACCCTTGGGGGACACCACAAGTGACAGGGCTCCAACCAGACCCTCTGGGATCTGCTGTTCAGCCAGTTTTCAACCCACCTCACTGTCCACTCATTCAGGCCACATTTACTGAGTTTGTCTCTCACAAGATCCTCCTAAACAGTGCTGAAAGCCTTCCTGAAGTCAAGGCAGACAGTATCCACAGCCCTCCCCTCATCCATCCATGTAGTTGTTTCATTCTAAAAGGCAATCAGGTTGGATAAGCATGGAATCCATGCTGTCTGCTCCTGATCACGTTCTTGCCATCCATGTGGACGGCAATGGCTTCCAGAATGAGGGGCTCCATCACCTTTCCAGGGACTGAGCCAAGGCTGATTGGCCAGTAGCTCCATGGGTCCTCCATGCCCTCTCTGAAGACTGGGCATGACATTGGTTTCTAGCAGTCCTCAGACACCTTTCCTGATCTCCACAACCTTTCAAGGATGATCATGAGCAGCCTGGTTATGGTACCCTCTGACCCTCTCAGGACTCATGGATGCATCCCACCAGGGTGCATGGAGTTGTGAATGTAAAGTTTGCCTAGCTGTTCTCTGACCCAATCCTCTTTGACCATAGGAAAGTGTTCCTTCCAGCATTCCCTTAACTCTGGTGTCTGGGTCAGAGATTCCTGAGGGCTGATCTTGTCAGTGAAGACTGATACAAAGAAAGTGTTCAGTATCTCTGCCTTCTCTAGGTCCTCTACAACCAGGGTCCCTCCTCCACTTAGCAACAGGCCCACATTATCCTTAGTTTTTCTCGTTATTGATGTATTTGAAGAAGCCCTTCTTGTTGTCCTTGACATCCTTGGCCAAATTTAATTCCAAATGGACCTTGGCCTTCCTTGTCTCATTTCTACTTACTCTGACAACCTCTCTATATTAATTCCAAGTGGCATGACCCTGCTTCCATCTCCTGTGTATTTCCTGCTTGCACTTGAGTAATGACTATTCTTTTTTTCATACACGTTTCTTGCACCCTTTGCCTGATTTTTTTGCTTATCAGAATGCATTCCTCAAGGAAACAATCCTTGAATATCAACAAACTCTCTTGGTTTGTGAGAAGCAGGGTCTCCCTTTAAAGCACAGATTCAGAAACACCTATTAATTACTTAAAAATAACGGTTCTAGGAAGTATTTTTATTGCACTCAATTACCAGGCATTAGACTAACTTGGAAGCAAGTTCAACTACTGCCAATCACACGAAAAATTAACCACATCTACTCATTACACAACAACATTGACTGACATCATGCATCAAGTGAAATACTTTGACATTCCCAACATATAAAAATTTCTTTTTCTATGTGAGCACACAAGTGTAGCCTAGCAACAGCCAGAGGCAGCACCCTCCTTCACATGCATCTGACCCCAATAAAGCACATCTTTTGTCCCAAGCCCTAACAGGATTTTTTGGCAGAAAGTAGTAAAAGAACAGCACTCCCTAGAAAACTATGAACTAGACACAAATACAAACACATTAGAAGATTTTGCAATTTTGGTTTTCAATGTAATCTTCTCTGGTTGCTCAGTGTATATAATCAAAACCCTGTTTAGCTCCAGAAACATCTTCATTTCAAGTCCAGGAATGTGATCCTGCTTTTTGTTTTACTTCCTCCACTCGGGATCCTGAGCTCCATCTCACAGCCACTGCTATGGCAGACCAAGGCTGTACTCAGCTTTCACATCCTCAACCTTCCTTGTTTTTAGGTATGTATGGAAGCAGAATGCACAAATCCACTTTTGCTCCACACACTTCTTGTTCAGAATGTCCTCCCAGCCCCCATGAGCACCACCAACCTTACACAAATTATTCTCATCAACCAGAAAGAGAAGTAAGCTGTCTAGGAATAAACCTGTAAAGCAAAGAAGCTGCCCTCAAGGACCCCATGATCCACATCATTGACAGTTTGGGATGCAGCACTTGGACCAGACTAGTGCCATATGTGCCCCTGGAACAGAGCTTCCAGTTTAGTTCTATCCAAAAATGAATCAAATACTCTGAAGTCACTCCATTATTCTAGTGCAGTAAGGTGGGATAACTAGAAGAATTAGCTTCAAAAAACATACTCGTAGTGCAATTTCACTGTCCAATATCAGTGCACACACAGTAGCCCATAGTTGAATTCACACTGCATTTGTTACAAAGGGCCAGTACTACATACTTGGGAGGTGCAAGATGCTCTGCAGGAAACAATTCAAGCCAACCTGAACCCAAAGAAATCTTGTCTCAATTTCCATAATGTAGGTATCTGCTCAAAACCCCCAACACACAAAAGGTTTGGTATCATTTCCAAAATGCTTGTGAAAAAACACTGAAAGAAGTTATACCAAGTAGTATATTTTAACTGTTTCAGGCAAGTGGAATCTGAATTATTTTTATTTTTATGATGTAGAAGTACTTGTTTTTGCAACACATTTAGGGGACAAATTCAGGTTAGAAATAAGCAGGCACAGTAAGTGGAAGTCAGGCTGAATAAAGATAAATCTTTGGCCACCAGTCCACTGTTTTATTTGCAGAACTAGGCAACATTTTGGCTAATTTACTAATTTATTTTATAGTAATGTAAAGTGCCCTGTCCTCCAGCCAGATACACTGCTTGGGTTCTTTACAGGAAATGCTGCCAAAAAAGGCTTTAAAGCAAATGCTAGTGCATTCTGAGCACACTCTGACTAGACAAAAGAATGAACATTTATAAACACTTTCCTACCCAAAACTTAAGGTTAATAGTATACAGTATATATACATGTGTGTTTGTGAACAGGTTTTTGCTCACACATATAGCATTGGGTGTTATTAACTGAAAATCAGGTTCTTATTTCCACGTCAAGAGCCCTCACTGTTTACAGGACAGACTTTGCACAACAGATAGATCCAGCATACAGAGTGCTTCTTAAATTGCACACTTGAATAAGAACATCTGTCTATTAAAGCCTAAAAGTCTCAGTCAGGTGGGTTGATACCAGGTGCCTACCAAGTTACCCCATCACTTCCCTTCTCAACAGGACTCAAGGAGAAGAAAAGAAGATTTTAAAAAACTATGGGTAATAAAGGCAGCTTAATAAAGCAAAAACAAAAGCTGTGCATGGAAGCAAAGGAATATAAAAGTTATTTTCCTCCTTCACATTAGCAGGAAATATTCGGCCACTTCCCAGAAAGCAGGGCTCCAGCATATGCAGAGGTTTCTCCAGAAGACAATTGTCATAGTAACAAATGCTACCCTGCTTCTCCTTCCTCTTAGCTTTTATTGCTGAGCAGACATCACATGGTCTGGAATACCCCTTTGGCCAGTTTGGGCCAGCTGGTTCTGGCTGGTCCATCCTGGAGCCAGCTGGCATTGGCCCTGTTGGACATGGAGGAACCTTCTGGCAGCATCTCACAGAAGTCACCCCTGTAGCCTCCCACCAGTAGCCAAACCATGCCACATAAACTCAGTACATTCAAAAAAAAAAGCAAGTGGTTGGTTTTATGCAGATATTTTCAGATGAGGAAAATAAGAATGACTAAAAAACCTCACCTAATAAGTATAGTTCTGTTTACCCAGAAGTCAAACCTCTCCTATTTCTGTATATAAACATACCTTTGAGAGGCAGTGGGAAATCCCAATTGCAGGTGTAATGAAGGAGCTTCTATTCCTTATGACTCGTGCCAGCTGCTCCAAATACCCTGATCCAGTGCCTTGAGGAACAGTCAGTAAACCTACATAGATGAAGAAATGAGTTCGTACTTTACAAAATAAATGGTTGCAGGCCAAAAGGACAAGAAAAATCCTTGGTCTTCCTCATCCTACTCTTTTCTGCTTTTCCCTGGCATAAGGAAAATAGAAGCCAGCTGCATTAATGGCCGCTCTGTATGGGAATTCAATACTGAAACACATTTTTTAAAAACAGTCAAATCTGCAGCCTGGGGCAATTTTGGAAACCTAAGTTAGTCATTTGCAAGCCTACCTCCTCCAGACTTTATGTCAATCCACAAGCATCAGGAAGAGAATCCCAGCTTCTACTAGGAACCTCAGGTCTTAAAGATTTTCATTCCATTTACTTACATACCCAAGCTGTAAAATTTCCCAGCTGAAATTGCCACAACATAATAGTTATTTCCAGAGAGCCCAGCTAAAATATATAACACATAAAAAAAATAAAAACCAGCAAGCCAGCAAAGACTGCCACACAAGACTATGTGCCTGTTAGAACCTGGGAAGCTGGATTAGACATGGATTCCATTCTCAACGCCAGGTATGCTAGAGACCGTCCCTGCCAACCTTCTTCCATTCAGAGGACATATTCCCCAGAACAAGAGCTTTCTTTTCTTGTGCAGTGCCTCAACACTTACGGGACCTCTGATAACCAACAGAGCAAAGACTTTCCCTCGTTTCCATGCCTGCAGCAGGAGTAGGCTGACAAAACCACAAGCCATCAGTAACCGTAAATAAGAGAGAAAAATACATAATGGAGGCAAATTACATTTGGAAGAAAACATTGAAGGGAAAGGAACAAAGCAGCACTCTTTCATCAGCCGAGACGTCACTTAGTCATGATCTGGAGTGCTCACACCTGCTCCGCTCTGTCACAAACTCCCACAGCTCCGAACCGCGCGCCGCAGCAGCAGCAGCGCCCCGACACCTCTCCTTCTGCCAAGCCTAAGCAGCGCAACGGGAGCGTTTTGTCATTCAAGTTCCCACTTAGTTAATCACTGTGACACCTTCAAATCTCTGCAGTGTGTTTCACACAGAATGCCTGCACGAAGCAAAGCAGCCCCACCAGCCCAGCGCAAGCTCCTGAGCTGCTGTCCATGGGGAGCACTGGGCTTGGCATCCTGTCTTACCTGTGAGCTTGGCCTTACTAACAACCCTGTTCTGGTTGGTTCTGCTCCCCATCATTCCTTTTTTTTGATCTGTGATATCATAAAGGCCTCACTTCAGAGAAATTCGTTGGCACATGCCGCTCTGCCTTGGCTAAGACAGACCCATGCAAGACAGATCTCAGAGCCAAGGAAAGGGACTAACAAGGACTAAGGAAGAAATTCTCCATGGACCTTTTAGGTACAAGGTATCTAGAACAAATACACTTTGAAAGCCCTTTGAAGTGCTGCTCTCAGTGCCTTCACAGACTTGAAAACCTTTGGAAATGTACCTCTGAATCCCTTAGCCGAACAGGGATTTGTCAGTACTTTGCTGAATAGAGATCCAGACTACAAGAGCATAAATGATACAGGATATTTACTTTCTGTTCTTTGAAAAGTTCTGCCCAGTTCCCCTTTTTTCACCACCTCAGCAACAGCAATTCATTCATGTTACATTCACGTGAACCTGTTCCATTCAGCTCCTTCTCCGTTACCATGTGTATGGCAAGTGATACAAGGAATGTTTTGTTTTTATGATAAACATTCTCTCTCATTATGCATCAATTTCAACTACTTAAACAAAAAAGTTTATATAGCACCTTCCAAAAGCAAATTGGTCCTTTCTTTGAAACACACTGGTAACAGGAAAATACAGCAGCATGACCCTTCACTTCAATAAATACAGCTGCACACAGCCACATGGATTGGTGCCAATAAAACACAAGCTTCTGCCTCCATGGAAGTGAAATGACTTCTATACACTGAAAATGGAAGAGGAACAAACAGAAACCAGTGTCAGATCTGTAACTCGTATTTGTGCCTGCACGTGGTTGAGCATTGAGAGTTTCCAAGGCAAGACAAGGGGCAGATTTATAAACATATTTTTTTTTAATTGCAATACAATTACTGGATTTATGGTTTTCAACCCTGACTGTTCCAGAAGTCCTGGGTAGCCCATCCTATTTGGTCAGACATCCTCTTTTGACTCCATAGTCAAAAGAGGAATGGAAATGGAAACTACAGCATTGTCCTGATTCCCAGCTCCCGGTCTTCTGCCACAAACTGTGAACCGCTATCCTACATCCAAATGATCACTGAACCACACCTCTCACATATCCAGAAGTGGGGTGTTTATCCAAGCCAAAAACTATGGCTGTCTCTACACAGCAGCTTGTAACCAAGCTGGTAATGAATCTTTGGCAACTAAGTGCTTAATTTATAGACAGAGCTCTAGTTCATGTTGTTGCAAGGCTAAGCCCTGTACACAAGCAGCTGACCAGAATTATTTTCTGTCTGTACAGTTAGAACTTTCAGCTCCCATACAACTGTAAAGCATGCTGCTCTGAATGCTATAGCAAGTTATTACCAGTAGCTTATGTGCAGTGTGTTTCTTCTATCCACTGCAGTACTTGAGTGCTGCCATCAAAGCAATTCAGAAAAAAATGTAACTCCTATAATTCAGTCCTGAACACAACATACCCACCTTTGCTCATCTTACTTCAATGACTGCTCGAAATCTATAAAATCAGTTAATCCCAGGTCCAGCACTTGTTCTGCCAGACATCCTGCAGCAAAGGACTGAGTAATATCCTGACCACCCCCAAAATTTACCAATACCCATCTCAGGCAGGCTCAAATCACAGCTTGAGACCAGCAAAATCCTATCTCATCATTTGTGCAAAGAGCACCTAAGCAACTGCTGGAACCAAACAATGCATCCCACTGCTGGTGAATTTATCTATTTAATGACAAAGCACCATCCAGCATAACCAGGTACCAACTCAAAGCCAAGTCAGCAGGAAAGAGCTGCAGGTACAGGTCAGCTGTTTCACCAGTAACAAAAGCTGCAACATGGATACCATCACCTGCAAACCACAGTGATATCAACCCTAAATGGCTCTAAGATGGAAAAAAAGAGAAGAACTACACTACAGCAACAGACATTAATATTTTGGATTTTTTTCTGCACTAAGTCTTTGAAAGAAATAATTCAATTATTTTTCTGTACTGCTGATTAACCATCCAAATACAAAATGCTGGCTATTACAAAGCTGTGTTCTTCCCTTGTCTTTCAAAAGATATTAGCTACAGTCCAGATACTTATGTATATAAGTTCTGCCAGGCATGTTTAATGAAAGCTTTACCTTTTATCACTGCATTCTTAAAGTACAGAATAGTCTGTCTTCTACCTTTCAGCATCATAATGAAAAACTAACTTGTTCCATAGAATTGAAGAATATACTGTGGCTAGCAGAGCCCTATTGAGAGACAGATTATTTATCTACTTGGGTGTGCATGCAAGAGTAAACTTGTCACAACTAAGGGGAAAAGGGAAATGTAGCAAAGCTGCTGTGCTAACATTCTCCTCTTCTAGACATCCACACAGCCCAGCGCAGTAAGAGGTATGGTGTTCAGAAACAGCAATATAGCAAAATCAGGCTGGAGAATTTGCTGGCCTCTGAACAGGAACTAATGGCAATCCAGGGTGCTGCCTCACCACAGCATGCACCCCGCTCCATGGTCAGGGGTGGGCAAGACACATTCTGAGTGGACAGAAGAAGACAGGAAGGAAGAAAGAACATTATGAAAGGAACACGATGCCCTTCAAAGCAAGAACAAAAACTGCAGCCACAAACCAAAACAAGTGTAACCAGCGCCAGCTTTCCAGGGACGAGGCGCTGCCTTGAGCTGTGCAGGGCCCAGAGACACCCAGTGGTTGACTGGTACATCACAAACACATGTAATGGGAGGAAAGGTTAAGGAAAGCATCCCCTCAGTTCCTCTATTTAGTACAACCTTGGGCTGACACGATGCTCCGCTGCTCATCTCCAGTTCTCAGACTGGGTGTGGGAATAGATAAGAAGGTCTAAGAGAGAGGCCTGATTCTGAAAAAGTGACAAACAGCAAGAAAGCACAGGGAAAAGAGGAACTGGCAAGGTTTCACACTATGCATTGTCCTTCAGCTGTAGATGTTACCAGTGTCCTCTGGCCTTTCCTAAGGAAGTTCCTGTGGTCAAGATTCTGCCTTATTTGAGGTCTCTGGCTGAGTTTGGGTAATCATTACCTGCAGTCTGAGATAGAGGCAAGCGCTACGCCACACTGAGGGTCAAAAGCCAGCTAAAGGAAGCTTGTTGAGCTGCTAACCTTGCCAGCAGCAGCTATGCTACCTGACTTAAAGGAGATTTAAAGGACCACCAACAACTCGTCAAGGTATACATGCAAAACAAAAGGCATCTCCCTTCATACCACTAGCAGCACAGGACCAGGCTCTGGACTAGGAAAAAAAAGAGAAATAGATCCAACTTGAAACCAGCTTTTAGTAGCTCTACAGAAGTATAAGCAGAATTTTCTTTAACCCAAGTAGCACCAGAGCTGCAGAAAGTGACATGCACTATGGGCCTCCCATGCACTCCTCACCAACACTAAGTTTGATTCCATCCAGCCTAGCTTCAGGCACTCATTAAATACCCAAGTTACGCAAATCACCACAGTCAGCTTTTTCTAATAGAAATGGAGAAGGATGGACATCTCTTACCATCAAGATGGAAATCATCATCTAGACAGTAGCATCTCTGCACCTTATATTTCAGACCCATCAACTAAGTGGCACGTGTTAGGAACAGCTGAACTACACAGGGTCAACTAGACAGGATTAATATTATGCTCCCTTACTTTGCCTACACTGTTGTTAAATCTGAGTAGCAATTTGGATAAAAGTAAATGTACTCCCCAGAGCAACACAGAAATCCATGTTTTAAACTGCTTTGTGGCTCCTTCTGGAAAATGGCAGGATAAACTTTGCTTACAACCCATACCACATGCACAAGGATAAACGTAACCTTCACCCGAATGCCAAT